TGCTATTTAAGGAGGTGAAAACCCTAGATTTAAAATCAAAGAAGCTAGGATTAAAAAGTGTGTGCATTGGTGTAAGGTGAAGTCCTCGTGTGTCTTAGTCTTGTGAGTCATTCACTCATTATCTTAATGTGTGAATTGATCTAAGTTGTGAATTGTAAATTGTTCACTCAAAGCTTGTAAGCAAGAGTGTATTGTACTTGATTGAAGCTTTTAAGCAAGATCAAGTTGTGTATTTGAAGAGTTCCTTCTAAAGTCTTTCTTTTGTTGTTGTTATCACTACTGTGATTGAGGGGGAGTGAGAGGTGTCTCTTATCTAGGTGTGTCCTAGATAGAAATTGCAAGGATAGAAATTAGGTGAGAAGATGGTAAACTAGATAGAATCTACTGTGTATCTTCAAACTAACTCTACTTAGTGGATTTCCTTCCTGACTTGGTAGCCCCCAGACATAGGTGTGCTTTCACCGAACTGGGTTAACAATTGTTGTGTCTCTTTACAATTATTATTTGTTTATCTTTGTTCTTATTATTGATTAGACAAATATTTTTGTCGTAAACATTACCTTCGACATCTAATATCTGATACCAGAATTTCAAAAATAAAATTAAAAACTAAAAGTGTTGCACTAAATTGCCTTGTCGAAATCAACAATTCTCAGAAACGGCGATAAAGACTTGATGACCTCTCGGAAAGTGTATTGATAACGTCGAAGTAATAATAAAAATATCTTCTCTGGAAGGTTTGTAATTTAACAAGAAAATTATGTGTGATTGTAAGTAATTAAAGGAGGGACTTTCGTTAGAAAAGTGGTTCTAAAATGAGAAATTAGAAAGGTAAAAGTCAAGATGAGAAAGTCGATTAGGTTTTTATTATATAATCCCCTTACTTTTACCTGTTGATGAACGATGTATTTGTTGAGTTTCAATCAAATTATTATCTCACTGTGAATTAACAAAATCACTACACCCAATTCATTGGTGTGCAGCTCACTAATTATTCCTTAGGTCAATTCAAAGTTAAATTAGGTGTTATAAGTGCGTTAATTCATAAGCAACAACTTCTAATTAAGTATCCTTAGTTAATCTCAAAGTTGAATAAATTGCATAGATCAGATAAATAGCCTAACAGTCAGAAATCCCTAATTATCTAGATCGATTTGTACGCTCGTAAGTAACAAAAAACATTAAACACAAGAACAATTTAAATAAGATAATAACATTAAAAATAATCAAGAAATCTCAAATAAACATATGATCCAACTGAGTAAAAATAAGTTTCATCTCAAAAAGACTTAATCTAGAGAAACTTAGTAACTCATTGATAAATTAACAAATACCACAAGTTGATATGTCTTCATCATCAAAATATATGGAAGAATTGCTCTCCAATAACTCCAATATGCTCCAAAATCACCCCTTAAATATCCATAGTCATCACTTCCTATATGAAATTCAAAACCCTTAAAAAAAAGTAGCCAAACATCCCTTTAAGATGAAAATTGTGTGTCAGCAAAAAAACATGTCATTGCTCCGTGACAAGTCTATATTGTGATGCAATGCAATCCTTATCGCGCCGCAATGGGATGCATCGTGGGCGTGAGAATTTCAAAATCAATTTTTTTATTTTTTTCACTTTTTCTTCAGAAGTTTCACTAAGTGTTTATTTCTTCCTTGTCTTGAATTTTTTTTTCTTGTTTCTTCACACTTTAGCTTCACTTTTGGTCAATATTCTTCCAAATTTTCTCAAATAAATTACGTAATGACGACTACCATCACAATTCATAAAAAGAATTTTGTAATTCGTCATATGAAGAACTATCATCATTTTCAGAAATATTAACCTCATGTTCTTCATCACTTGAATGATGTGATGTCATCAATGTCTTGCTTGCATGATCTTCATTTGAAGATGAATTTATTTCGTTGTCATCTCATGCTACATATGCTTTCTTTGGCTTTTTTTATTTTTTGATTTTGAATTTATTCTTGTTTTCAAGTGTAGAGCATTCACTCTTGACATGTCCTCTTTTTCCACATTCAAAGCATGTAACCATTCTTATTGATGCTTCTTCCTGAATGCTCTCCTTTTACTTTCTTTTCTTAAGATCTTTGCAAACCTTTTGATAAGATCATCATCTTCGCCATTAGTGGACTCATCCTCTTAATTGCTATCATGATTTTTTACTTTACTCTTTAAAGAAAGTCTTTTTGAATTCTTTCTTTCATCTTCATGCCTTTCTATTTTTTTTAAGTTCTATCTCATGCTCTTGAAGTTTACCGAACAATGTTGGAGAAGACATTTTGAAAGACATTTCTTTTTAGAAATAGATATTACCTTTGGTTGCCAAGCTTTTGTCAAATATCTAAGAACTTTTAGATTTAATTCATCATTTATAAAACTTTTACCGAGATCCATCAAATGATTTGTTAAATGACTAAATCTCTTTTGCAAATCAAGAATATATTTATGGAGATGGATTCTAAATCATTCATATTCTTGCGATAGAGATTTAATTTAGATCTTTTCACCTCTATCATTCTTTCATGTGTGACTTCTAAAGTGTCTTAAATCTTCTTTGATATTTTACAATGAGATATACGAAATAATTCATTCATACCTATGGTTGATTGAAGTATGTTCTTAGCCTTCTTGGCGTGCTCGAAACCAAGCTAGATTTCAGAACAAAGTTATTTTGTGGAGAACCACTTGCTCTTACATTTATGTTTTTTCACAACTTGCCGATAAGTCTTTCAAAGGATCCTCTTCTTTGGATATGGTCAATTTTCAAGTTCTTAAAAAGTTCTATATTTCCATCAATCAACCTAAACTTAATATTTGTAACGAAGTGTTCTGGAGCCCTCCTTCTTATGGGTGGATCAAGGTTAACCCGGATGGTGCTTACAGGGGCGCTCCAATCAAGGCAGATTGTGAGGAGGTTTTCATAAATCATTCGGGCAATCATGTTGACAGTTTTGTGAGCAATTTAGGCACTGTGAATTCTCTTTTTGCAGAGTTTATGGGTGCGATTTTGGAGATTGAGCAGGCATTTTCTCATGGTTGGTATAATCTTTGGTTAGAGTTAGATTCTAAATTAGTTGCGATGGCGTTCAATAAACCTTCTGTACCTTGGCAGATCAGGAATACATGGGACAATTGTACGAATATTTTAGAAAATTTTAATTTTTTTGCTACTCATATATAGGGAAGAAAATCATTGTGCGAATAAGCTTGCTAACATAGGTTTAGAGGTAGATAATTTTACTTAGTGGACCGATGCGCATTCGGATATTGAACCGGATCTTATCAAAAACCGGTTATGTTTGCCTGACTTTAGGATTAGATAGGTTTGAGGTTTCGCTTTTATGTCCCCCTCATTTTTGTACCTATTTCTCTTTTAATATATTTTCTTTGGGCTAATGCCCAATTTATAAATATATAAAATAAAAAAAAAGGGATGAATTAAAATTTGAGACTTTTTTGGTTATTTTAGAGATGTTCGTATGTTCTTATTTTTTCGGAAATATGTTGATGAACTTATGAAGTAAAGTGCAAAATTTAAATGCAGGAAATAAAGAACACAACAATGTATACAGTTCTCCTTTCTAATCAAGGGTACATCTAGTCCTCTCACACTCCGTGAGAGATTTTCACTAATGTTAGATATGTGTACAAACCGCACACCAAGACTTCTCCTACAATCTTCTAACAACAACAAAGAAGCACACAACTTCCTTGAATCCACAAGCACCAAACCTATGGTGGACTTTAAATCAACCCAATTTAAATAACCTTTTTTAAATTATTACCAACACTATGATGATTATCACATAAACAAAAAAGCACACAACAGTTTATTTACAATACTTAGAAAGAACACTACTTTCAATTACAAATAAATGTCACCACATACTTGGTGATCAATACAAATTATGAATACAACTTTGAATAATCTTTTCAACTAGGCTTGAATTTCAAGATATAACAATTTTGATTTTCTCTTCCACTTTTATATATATTAAGTGCTCAATATATTTAAGAAACTTTTATATAATGTATGAACATATGCATAAAAAGTTTCTCTCAAAAAATTATGAACACATAAAAACATCTCCGGTAAGAACGTTGAATGAATTTGAAAATGCATCTTCGTAACGTTCTACAACTCAAAAAGGACGAAAATGGCATAAATGCAGTCCAATCCAACATCCAAAAAAAATGCATTGATCATTTAAACTACGTATCAAACACATTCTCATTTAAATAGCATATTCAAACCACCTATAACATAATCTAATGCTCAATTTCTACAAATGTATATTAAAATAAAAAAAATTTAGAGAATCAAAAACTTATCAAATGTGAGTTTGATGATGAGCTTTTTTATTAATTGGATGTTGATGGTAGAAATTTGGAAGTTTTTTGAATGAGTGTGAGAGTTTGTGAGTTGAGAGAGTTTAGAAGTCAAGAGGTTTTGAGAGTTTGTGAGTTTTGATAGTATTTTAAAAAGTGAAAAAAGAGAAAAAGACTCATACGCATATTTAATTAAAATAATGTCTGAAGATGCATCTCTATAAATTACACAAAAATATATCTTTAAACATGGCCTGAGAGATGACTAAAAAATAAACGTGAATGGAGTGCGTCTTAAGAAATATTTTCAAATTTTATAGACAAAATTTTGTTTTTCATTAAGGTGGAAAAGCAATACGGGTGTATAAAGCTATTCCTTTACTATTATTATTTGGATACTAAAGACCCAATTATTTCAGATTATTTGACTTTTTTAAAACTAAATAATCTCTAAATACACAAATGAAATTCTTTTTTATTTAAAATCTCTTAAAATAATCTCTAAATTACTTCATCATATCACTTCTATAGCTGCCGCATCTTATCTATTATTTTCCTTCCCTTGTATAGACAAACAACAAACACACAGAACTTCTCAATCCAACCTTTCTTCTTGCTTTCTAGTACTCACACCTGCAATCAATACACAAACATGCATGCCTTAACATGCTTACCACTTTCTTCTCCTTCATCTATATCTTCTCTAAAGCCAAACCATCACAACAATCATTTATTCAATGCAACTTCAAGAAAAACTTGTTTTACTACCAGAGCATTACTCTCATCATCTAAAGAATCTATCCTCAAGGATTTTCACCAAAAAACAGCTCTTAAGGTAAATATAAACCGTGAAAAACCCATTTTTGTATTTTTTTTCCCTTTCATTTATATTCTTTACCATAATTGTTGATAAATATTTGGCTTCTTTTGAAGATTATCACAGGTTTGCAGAATTTTGATAAAGATAATGTTGCTTCTGTTGTTACTGCAGCAGAAAAGGTTCCTTACTTCGCTCTTTCTCCATTGTTTTGATGATTAGGTAAGTTTTTGTATCTGACAGAAGATCACTGATAAAGAACTGAGTATGTCTTGCAGGGAGGAGCAACTCATGTCGATATAGCATGCGACCCGGAATTGGTGAAGCTAGCTATCAGCCTAACTACTTGTCCGGTATACTCGTGTTAGAAAATAGATTTATGCAGTTAGCACATCACGCGGATCTCAACCATCTGATCTAAATCTATGGTCGAGATTGCTTAAAGTTGATTTAGTATAATCGAAACTGTTTGACTCAAATCAATAGCGAGTTTGATTACTGCATGTAACTGTGTTTTATTATTAGGAGACAACGATTTATGACTAGTTTCTCTTGCAGGTTTGTGTTTCTTCTGTGGATCCTGCAACATTTCCAGCTGCAGTTGAAGCAGGAGCACTTATGGTTCGACCTTTTTGTCTAGTTACATTTCAAAAATCAGTTCCAATTTCATACTCAAGTCAAAGATGAATTTAAAATTGGAGCTTATGAGATTTTTACTTAACATGGTCTAGTTACATTTCAAAAATCAGTTCCAATTTCATACTCAAGTCAAAGATGAATTTAAAATTGGAGCTTATGAGATTTTTACTTAACATGATATTGCATTGGCAGGTTGAGATTGGAAATTATGATTCATTCTATGAGAAGGGAATGATTTTTACTGCAGAGCAGGTAAAGAGTGGTTTTCTGTATTTAATCTTGAATGTTTATGATAGTCGCTAAATCTTAGTTTACGAACACAAAATTTCAATGCAGATTTTGAGTCTAACGAAAGAGACGAGGAGGATACTTCCATCGATAGTTTTGTCTGTCACTGTTCCGCACACACTAAGCCTCCCTGATCAGGTTACAAACAGAAGTGCACAATTTTGCTGATAGGTCAATATTTTGATAGTATGAATAAACAAAATATATAAAACTTTTACAGGTCAAGCTTGCAGAGTTACTAGAACTAGAAGGTGTAGATATTATTCAAACCGAGGGAGGAAAATGTTCTAATCCTACAAAGTCAGGCGTTCTAGGTTTGATTGAGAAGGTAAACAGAAAAATATGTTTGAGAATATAAAGGTCAACAGAAAAATGGTTATTAAAATTCAAATCCCTGGTTATTATAGGCAACACCAACTTTGGCAGCAGCGTATTCTATATCACGAGCAGTTAAGATACCTGTCATGTGTTCATCCGGGCTAAGTGCTGTCACAGCACCTATGGCTATCACTGCTGGAGCTTCTGGTGTGGTAAGGATTTTTATTAAATCTCTTCCTGATTTTATGTTTTCTAGTACTACACATTTCTGGCAGAAAGTTATTTATCATTGACTTCGGTTCGGTGTATATCTGAATCACAGGGTGTGGGCTCTGCAGTTAACCGACTAAATGACGTGGTTGCCATGATTGCTGAGGTCAGAAGCATTGCTGATTCATTGAAGACAACCTTTCAGACACGTGAAGTGGAAACTTATAGACAGTAGCTTGATATATGTTGCAAGGATTGGGTTAAGGTGTTGTAGTGTTGTAGGTAGTCAATAAAACGCCCGAGGAAAATTTGGATTCTTTCTTTATGACTTTAGAACTACTAGGATCCATTTATCTGGGTCTTATTCTATTTTAGACTTTTGTTGTAGTTCTGGTTTGTGTGAGGAAAATATTGTAAGCAGAAAAATGATAATTATTCACAAGAACAAACCAGAGCTGTGAGTACAACTGAATATACAACTTAGAGTACTTGAGTAGTTTCAATTAATACAGGTGAAGCCTTATAAATAAGAAAATGAATATCTGGTTTTACTCGTCATACTCTGAATCCTCATCGGTTTCTTCATAATCACGGCTTTCCTGAAAAGTATCAGAAACCAAATTGTAATAACTGGACAAATAAGAGTTAGTTTACAAGCCATGAATATGACAGATTGGTTACCATTTTCTTGTTATACTCTGTCGTTGCTCTATCAAATTCTGCACGTTTTTCCGTTGCTATATCGTAGTATTGAACCTTCTCCTGTCAGATACTAGATTCATTAACATAGAGCTCAACCAAAGTGAAGTTTCTTTTTTGGTCAGATCAAATAGAACAAAATATATGAATAACTCTAGTTTACCAGGTAAGTAAACACGAAACAAACTTAAAAAGCTAGTTCTATATTCATTTGGAATAAACAGAAAAATGCTTAGCATTAGTAGCACGTCAAAAGTTGTTAACTCTAGAGAAAGACACCACATATTCACTCAAAACCTTAAGGTGATAGGTGTATGGATTTTCGAATACTAGAGTTATTCATACTACTCACCTATTAGGCACCTCTAATTAGGTATTTCGAATACACCTCTTCCTTGGGCATTTCGATACATGTAAGCCGGAGTTTTACACTAGCAACACAAGTAAGAGACACACTACATATTCACCAAAAACCTTAAGGTGATAGGTGTATGAGTTCTCCCACTTATAAATGCTCAAGTCACCACATTCCTATCCAATGTGGTACTATTATCCATACTACTCACACTTGTTATATTATTCCCAACACCCCCCCTCAAGTGTGAGTCCACAATGCTCCCCCTCATGTGGAAACTCTTTTGTCCACATATATTTGTACCGCCGTTGACACCTATTACTAGGCACCTCTTATTAGGTATTTCGAATACACCTCTTCCTTGGACATTTCAATTTCAACGAGACAACACTTTCTGGACATTTCGATACATGTAAGCCGGTCCCTTTATGAACCAAAGGCTCATGATACCATGTTAGAGGAGTTTTTACACTAGAGAGCATTGAATATTAGGTCAAAAGCAACACAAGTGAGAGAGACACCACATATTCAATGTTTTCTAGTGTAAAATTCCTCTAACATATTCAAACAAGTCATGATCAGAACATGGAAATCAAGTTAAAACTCAGCAACATTAAAAACATAAATCTTTTTGACATAATTCCCGAGCCAAAGTTTGAAACTTCAATTTATGATTCACTCAGTTTTCAGCCATCAAACATCACAACCATAATAACACAATTCAGGTAAAACATGCAACAGAGAAGTACAAAGGAAAACTAACCTCATAAGTCATTGTTTTCCACTTGTCTCCACATGCCTTGCCAACCTATATGAACACAGGAAGGAGGAAAACAAAAAATAAATAAATAATATTACTACGATGAAGATAAAAATAATAATAATAATAATAATAGTGACGATGATAATGATATTTGCACAATCTCACAAACTATAAAATAACTATTAGTTTTTTTAAAAGTGGTGCTAACTAAACATTTGAGTTGTTTATGAATAATTGTGCAACAATCTTACTTCAAGAGGAATTAAAAGTATAAAATAAATTTAGATGAAATATTAATATGAAGGGTTCTATACATACATCACGCATTGACTTTACATCTGGGTTCTGCTCTTGAAACTCTTTCCGAAAATCCTCCCTTAAGAATGAAAAAGAACTTCCAATAAAGACGGTAATGTTGAAGCATTGAAAGACTTTCCATATAAAAAAAGCAGTTGTTGTTACTATGCTAGATCATTACCACAATGCCATATATAGTATAAACAGTAGTATGAATTGAACACAGAACAATAATATGTATAAGAAGCAAGGAAGGGAAATTATGAGAAGAAAATAATTTTTAACGATTAATGATAAAGCATGTATGAAGTAAGTGTTTGTCTTAACAAGAATAGTGATTCCCGGATAGTGGCGCGAAGCGGCTGATCCCAAAAGTGGGATAGCGGGATCGCCTATAGCGGGATGACCGCTTTACTTGATCATTTTTTGGGTAAATTACATGTAGTAATTATAAACATATACTTAATGTAAAATTAAACAAGTAAGTCAACTCATAAAATATTCATAAATCAAAGCACACATGAATCTTGAAGTGCATAAACGACTATGAAGAAGGGTAAGGTTGAGTCTCAACACAAATTTAATTGAAAAATTCAAAATTACCCTTAAAACATTGTAAATTTAAGGAGTAATCTCGGTTTTTAGAGAGGAAAAGGATAGAGGGCCAGAAACCAGTCCGGGCCGAGATCTGCTCTGCTTCGCTATTCCGCTATTTACCCTACTGCGGCCACTAAAGTGTTTTGCACCGCTAATCAACAAATGGTAACTTCCTCTGCATCATTCATCCAAAGTCAAAATACAGTCTACTGAGGTAAAAATCCATGAAATACAACAGAATACCATCAACTTCAGTAGCATACGAAAGAAAGTAAGTATATAATAACATCAACTAAAGTTGTTCATTGACTTCATTCCAATAACGAACCACTAATATTTGTTGCTACTTTTTTATACGAATGAAACCATAATGGAGCTAAAATCTTATCAAATTAATATATTCTTAAAACATTTCTTATAAATGGAAAATACAAAGATAATTGATACTAACACATCACAAAACATAAGAACTAAACATCATATACAAAGAACAATGGGAGACAAGAAGTTTTACATGAAATAGAAGAAAGCAGTGGGGGGTTTCTTTGGCTTCTTAGCATCAATCTTTTGTTTGTTCTTTCTTTGCTTTGCTTTGGTTTTCTCTATAATCTGCCGCACGGATCTCTTTGTTCCCTCATTTGATTTAATCCTCAACACTAGTTTGCTAAAAAAATCAATGCAGGATTGTGTTAAGTCAAGGAAACTATTTCTGCATATAGTTAAATTCCCCTCACCCTAGCAAAACCTGAGGGCAGAGGAGTAAACCTAAGAACACTACAAAAACTTGCAAAATTCAACACACAAAAACATCAACAAATTTCCAACCTCCAAAAGTTTGTAACCTAATCTTCTTCTTGTTGAATTGAAAACGGAGAAAGTAACATGGGGAAAATAAAGTTGGTAAAACCCCAATACTGAAGTGAATGAATATTAAATACCCTTGTTTTCGCAAAATTTGGACCTAATTTAGATAGATAAAATCAAGAATACAAAAACCATGACTTCAATCAATGCTTTAACCGTTATTTCTTATGGGTTCCAATAGGGAGCGTAGAGAGAGTGAATGGAACCGAAACAGTGAAGAAAAGGAGAGAAAAGTGATAAGAAATGGTACCCGGAGGAGGCGGAGGTGGAGGCGGAAGCAGAGAGTGAAGAAGCTTTGGGCTTTTTCGCCATGTGAGAGGTTGGTGCCTCTCAAGTATCAACTCTGCAACTATAATGTGGTGACGGTTTACCATTACTCTTCCATTTTGCTTCGTTAAGGATTTAATTTACTTGATTTTTAAAATTATTAGTATGTAGTAACTATTATGTACCAACTGTTAAGATTTTAACTCACACTAAAGTTATAACTTATAATTATTTATCAAATTTTAATTCATGTGTTTAAAATATCAAAAATAATATAATATAATTTTATCAATAATATATAATTTTTTTCAAATAGTATATCAAACAAAATTTCAATTCATGTGTTTGAAATATCAAATATAATATAATATAATTCATACATAATTTTTTTTAAATAGTGTATTAAATAAAACATTTAACATGAATGTTATTAGTCATAACCTTGATAGGCCAGATGCAAATATATTTAAAAATATCTCTCACGAAAGTTATGTTGACATTGAATTTTATCGTTGTACCGACCAATCAATGTCAACAAATCACATTTTAGAACTGTACCAATAAATATGTCAATTTGTATACTGTCTTTTTTCAAATTGCAAAAAAAAAACAAATGAAGTTTGTGCCATGTATATATAAAGTAAAATGGACATTTAACTTATATCACAGTAGTATAAGATAAAAAGTTTACCAACTAAAAAAGTGTTTGGAAGACCTCTTTGTACACAAGTTTGTAGTAGTCAAACACGGTGCATTCTTCTTGTCATGTATTAAGATTTTCAGCCAACTTTTACTCTTAACTCTTGAAATTGCAACATACAATTTGTAACACCCCCTTTCTATACCCCAAAATAATGCAATTAATCATTTAGGCACGAAATCAATATATCATCAGAGTAAATTCATAATATGGTATAAAAGAGGCGCATCACATTATCATCGAAACGGAACATAAATAATACCAGCTCATGAAGATATGTAACAAAAGGGGTAAATCTCAACTAAAAACAAAGCATAACGCTTAAAACCCACATATCAACATTTAGAATAAAGCGGAAACATCTAAACATTGAAATCACTTCATTAACATAAGCATCATATACATCGTTCAGATTAATTCAATTCATGAGTTGAGTTTACAGAAATACAGCAGCAGATACATACACAGATGTATCACAAAAGAATCAAAACAATTCCTAACTACCCAGTGTTACATATCAGAGCCATCTGACCAAAAGAAATGAACGACTCGCTTCACAAAGACTCCAGCAATCTAATCTGCAATGCCTCATAGAGCATTATAAAACAGCAGAAGGGTGAGAAACAATATCATAATACATAATGCATATAAACATATATATATATATATATATACACATAACGTTCAATAACGTCTTTCGCGTTCTCACCGCAACTCATCTCACTACACCGTACATCGCAATGTATTCACAATTAACTATTTACAAATAGAGCACCAAGCATATACAATGTGCATCAACAATGTTTATATCAATTCATAAACATGCATACATATACATATATATCCACACATACATGTATCTTACAGCCTTCCATTCATGTCAATTATCAACAATCTACATAAACATCTACATTCATGTTTATTCACCATACATCATACACAGATGTCTACATGCAACTTATAGAGACCGACACACGATTCTATGCAGATGCAAATGTGGTACCGACTCATTTCAGCAGGTTCAATTGAAGAACCAAAATAACCATCGCTCACACCCCACATGGGCACACGAGGTTCTGCAGATTCACCGAGGAATCAATAAATAACCATCGCAACATACGAGGTTCTGCAAATCCACCGAGGGATCAATAAATAACCATCGCTCACACCCCACAAGGGCACACGAGGTTCTGCAGATTCACCGAGGAATCAATCGGCACAAGAATGCATACCATGATGCTTCACATGCAACATGACTCATGACACTCTTGAAATGCATACATGTTTATCAACATACTCATGCATTCATCACATTCGTCGCATACATTCATTATGCATTCAAATATATGTATCACGAAGTATATATATATATATATATATATATATATATATATATATATATATATATATATATATATATATATATATATATATATATATATATATATATATATTCATCATCCATTCAAACCAATTTTCATACATGGTTCACATTCACAATCAATCTCGCCATGCATTTCTATTCAATTCAAGTAAATGCACAAAATTGCCAAACGGCCACATTTCACACCTCACAAATCACAAACTAGGATTCACGCCATACGGCTACCCACAACACACATAGCAGCATATAATTAGTCATCTCAGACAAGGAATGATCGCAACCAAACCACACAACCAATCCACGAGTGGAAAACATAAGAAAAGAAAATATGTTGCTGTGTTCGAACCTTCGCCTGGCGAACCTTCGCTACTTCGTTCGCCTGGCGAACTTGCCAGCGAAGACCGCTGGGAGTTATTCTGGAATTACTCGCTAGCACACTCACCTGGAGAACCTTCGCCATACCCATTCGCCTGGCTAACTTGCCAGCGAAGACAGGATGTCTTCTACTGACTTGGTTCGCTGCTGCTCGCTGGGCTTCGCCTGGCGAAGCTTCGCTGCCATTCGCCAGGCGAACCTGCAAACTCAGAACTCTCATGGCTGTCCAAAAGCCCAAACCTCACAAACCGACCGATTTAATCCAAATCAGTTCCAATAGTACAGCCCACTCATCACCCGACTATACTACACCGTCTATTCCAAATTTTAACCGATAAAACTCAGTTTTTACCGATTAAATCAACTTCCGACCTAGAAATGGAAACATAGAAAACAATCCAACAAATCCAATCTAGCACATACATGATCATATACATTATGAAGATGATAAACTTCTCATCCTTACCTGATTAATCGCAAGCTAAGGTTGATTCTTGATGATTCTAGGTTTTGTTCCACCTTCTCTTCTTTTCTCTCCTCCTCTTTTCTTTCTCTTGTTTTTCTTCTTAATGTTTCTATCTTTTTCTATTCTCTCTATATCACATATTCTATTTCTTTCCTCCCAAATTCTTTCCACGCACTTATCAATTAATTTTCACAAAATATCCACTTAATATTATCACTAATGCCCAAAATACCCTCCAGCCTATTTTTACCCGAAACTCTCAAAGTCGGCAAAAATAGCTCAATATGTAAGCATAACATATTATCACACAAATTCCACATAAATAAAATAATCACTTAAATAAATCAAATAAGGACTGAATAAAAATGGGAATTCAGAATCGGGGTGTTACACAATTGGCCATGACTAAACACGAGAGTAGGCAAGTACAATTCGACATTATCAAGTGATTGGCCTTGAAATTTATTAATTGTCATTGCATAGGAGACAATTATCAGAAATTGTCACCTAATCAACTTGAATGGCCAAGGTGACTCAGAAGGTGACATAGATATTCACGGAATGTAAAACATGATACATATGTTCTTTCCATACATGATCTTTACCTTAATGACATGATTTGCTAACCTTGTAACAATTAGCCTTGTTCTATTGTACAACCCATCAGCTTGGTCCAAATTTCTCATTAGCATAATAGGGGTACCATACTTCAATTTTATCCTATGATTTAGAAACCCTAGTGTTCTTAATTTACTAAGAAATTCAAAAGTTAAAACTTCATAAGCTTCATTATAACTTGTCTATGGACAATGATGAACTTAACGAAATAATAGGCAAAATGGTGAAAGAAGCGAAACAACCAACGGACAATGTTCAAGTGGAAGAGTTATTTTCGGAAATCAACACGACTCAGACTAATGTTCAGACTGATGAGGTGGTGAATCAAGACGTTATGGGCCACCCTGTTGTTGTGATTAAGGAAGTCAAAGTGGAGCCTGATGTTGGTCAATCTTCACATGCTCTATTATGAGGGCTTGTGAAAGATACCTTTTGGGATAAGGAGATCACTCGTTCACAAAAGTGTGGAAATCAAGTTCTAGTAAGATTAATACTACCTCTAGTAAAAAAAATAACATAATGTTTTGATTTAGTTTTTCATTCTTGTATTGTAATGTTAACTTTTTGATGACAACAAATGACTAGCAAGGTAATTTATGATAACACTTGAAGAATCATTAAAAGAAAGAGAATCAATCCTGCATAACCATATTTGAAATTTCAAAATTGCTGCAAACATTATGATACTTTAAAACATATAAAATTAACTTGCATTAGAAATGATATATATATATATATATATATATATATATATATATATATATATATATATATATATATATATATATATATATATATATATATATATATATATATATATATATATATATATATATATATATATATATATATATATATATATATATATATATATATATATATATATATATATATATATATATATATATATATATATATATATATATATATTAAAACAAAGATATAAAGATTAAACAATTATCCCATATAATGTTTGCAACAACATGATTCCAATGTAACAAATTAAAAAACGTAACACGAAATAATGCAATTATTTTGGAATAAAAAGTTAACTTAACCTAATACTTAACATAAGCAATGATGAAAATGAGGGAATGATAAATGCAAAATGCAAACGAAACAAAAGCAAACAGTGATAGAGTCGATGAGTAACCACTCATTGGGAATGACAACAACACTGGGGAATTGAAACAAACTGGGGGAATCTAAAGTGGTTGAGCAACAGGTTTAAGCATGACCATGTGACACTTTAGAAGGAAGGGATCCTCGCCGGAGATAGAACCAAGAGGTGGTCTCCATTAGGGAATATCTAGAGCAGTTAAACAATAGGTTCAGACATGACCGAATGACGTGTTAGAACAAAGACGAGTAGACCAACTCTTTACTGGGGATAAACAAGAAAGAACTGTGATTTCCACTGGGGATCCAGTTGAATAAAGGGTTGATTCTCTGACAAAAAAATCAGTAAAACAAGAAAATGATCTTCTAACAAGATATCAAAG